AGCATTAATCAATTTGACCATGGCTTCATATGGTCAGCCGCAGTAGATGTTCAAATTTTGGTCCTTCATGGCATCCTACTTTCTCGACTTCATATCTATCATTTAATCGAACAGCTATGATTTTATACGGTCCATGAAACTTAGGTCGTAGTTTCAAACCAGTCCCATATTGAGTTCTCTGAATGGCTACCAAGTCGCCAATCTTGTATAGTTTCGGTTTCTTACGTTTCTTGTTGAATTGTTTTCGATTCTCTTCTTGAATCTTCAAAATGTTGTTTTTAGCATCTTCTCTCATTTCATCACGTTCTTGTATCAATTGTTTTAGATATTCTTCATTCAATATCTCACTAATTCTCAAATCTTCTTTGTCCTTCATTTTCGTGCCTATGAGAAGCTCAAACGGTGAATATTTTGTACTTCTTGTAGTTGTACTGTTGATTATTCTCTGGAAATCTGGAATATACTTAAACCATTTCGTTGAATCTTCATGTGATAATTTTGACAAAACAGGAATCAAAATTATAAGAATTCGCTCAATTTGTCCGTTACCTCTTGGAATACCGGTAGTAATTTTGACATGTTCTATTCTTTCTTCAGTACAATAAGCTGAAAATTCTTTCGATGTAAAGGCACTACCTCGATCTGAAATGATTCTGACTGGATTTCCAAATACAGTCTGTTGTTGCTTCAATTTTGAAATAACTTCTTGTGTAGTTGGTGATTTCACTGGATAGAACCAAGTAAATTTCGTAAAAGCATCGACAACAGTTAGAATGTGTTGGTATCTCTTGTTCGTTGATGGAAGAGGTCCAATAAAGTCGATATGATACGTACTCAAGGGAACGTTTTCTTTCGGTACAGGATGAAGAAATCCTTCTGCTTTTCCTTGCTTCTTGTTGTACAGTATACATTCTATACAGTTAGTAATTACTTTTTCAACTTTACATTTCAGTCTGGGAATATAGAATTCTTGCTCTACAGCATTCACAGTTTTATCTACAGCAAAGTGACCTTTTTTATGTATCTTCTGTATGATTTCATTCTGTAAGGATTCTGGCACTAGTAGAAGATCTTTACCATTTTCAAATTTGTACAAAATATCATTTCTCACGAAGAATCCATTTTCTTCTCCCTTCTCAACTAAATTCTTGATTAACTTCACATGTTCATCTTCATTCTGTTGTTGTACTAACCGAATCTTCTCAGTTACATCGGATGTGTATGATGTTAAAATTAAAGCATTTCTACTTAAAGCATCAGCATGTTTCATTTGGCTTCCTGAACGATGTACAATTTCGTAATCGAATTCTTCAATAACATTGCCCATCTCGCAATTTTAGGAGTTAAATCTTTTATCTAAAGTTTTCTGAAAAGCGCTACAATCAGTTACAATTTTGAATTTAGTCCCTAACAAATAGTTTCGAAATTTCTTCAGAGCTTCTATTACTGCAAGGGCTTCTAATTCGTAACTACAGAGTTTCTCTTGCTGCGGTGAAGTCTTCTTACTCATATACTGGATTGGGTGATAATTACCATCATCAGACAATTGGAGTAATACCGCACCAAAGCCTTGACTACTAGCATCAGTATGAAGTTCTAATGGATATCCTTGCCTAAATATGTGTAGAACTGGTGCCTGAGAGAGAATTTCTTTTAATCTGCAAAAAGCTTCCTGTTGTTCGGAATCGAACTTAAAAACCAATACCTTTTCTAAGTAAGTCACTAAGAGGTTTAGCATTTTAGCATACTGAGGAATGAAATTTACGAAAATATCCCGTTAGTCCTAAAAAGCTTTGTAGTTGTTTACAGTTACGCGGTTGTGGAAAGTTTCGAACAGCAACAGTTTTGGAAGGTGATGGTCGAATCGTTCCGTTTTCAATTACATGTCCCAAAAATTCAATTTTACGTTTTAAGAATTGGCACTTTTGAAATTTATTGTAATCCATACTCCGAGCAGTTTTGAATACTCTTTCTAATTTATCTAAACATTCAACTTCATCATTAGCCGGTATGACTATATCATCCATATAATATAATTAGTACACCTTCATTTAACAAGTCACGAAATACTGAATAATTGTACCTTTGAAAAACATTTGGACTAATACATAAACCAAAAGGAGCTTTAAGAAATTCGTAGATACCATTATGTGTTACAAAGCGGTATATTGGTGCAATTTTCGTCTATGTCTACATGGAAAAAGCCATTTTCAAATCTAGTGTCGTGAAGACTTTGGGACTGTTCTAAGCGATCAAGTACTTCCGGAATAAAGGTAGTGGAAATTTGTCTTTAATATCTTCTTATTTAATTTCCGATAGTCCACGCATAATACGTTTCGAGTTATTACGCTTGTTACACAAAACAATAGGCGCCGAATAATTAGAATTGCTAGGCTTTATTGTGCCCTCTTTCACCATTCCTTAATTTGATCGTCAACAATTTTTTGTTCCGCAAAAGACATGTATCTTCTATTTTGACAGACAGGAATATCATCGCATAAATTTATTTGCATCTTGAAGTCAGATTGTCTATTTTCCGTGGTTGGTAAGAATTAATTAAATTACACAGTCTTTCTTTATGTTCTGCATTCGAAATATGCGATAAATCAATCTCGTTGACAGAAATAGCATTCACCAGATGTGAAAGGTAATTAAACGTCGAGCTACTTCCGCTTTCGGGACTTTTGTTTACATTAACAGAGACGCCAGACGATCGCGAAGGATCATAAGCATTCTTCAATGAGATAGCAATATTCAAATTTCCCATAACGCAACGTACGTTAGAATTTCGAGATGACTCAGCAGTTATCAAGTTTACATTACTTTTATTCCGATGAGAAATTATTTGAAGGCCATTCTCGGTAAAAGAGAAGTTAAACTGACTCAATACATCCGAACCTAATACAATTTGATTACATAATGACTTAACAACATAAATTTTCGTACGAAGTGAAAAACTATCAATTGAAATATCAGAAATAAAAAAGCCGATAGGGTACGTTTGCTTTGATTCAATTCCGTTTAACGTGATATCGCTACAATTTAAATTAGGAGAACCAATCTGCTTGTGTAACTCTACGCTGCATATCGTTACATCTGAACCAGTGTCAACTAAACTATTAACTAAATGATTATTTATTTCTACAGTCTTCCTAATTCTATCCTTGTCACAAATTCGTTGTAATAAAGCTGCTTGTGTGTCTCGGTGGTCTGATCTGGACAGTCCGTTGAATTGCCCGAACTTCTTAGATTTTATATTTACACCCTTTGATTTGTTTACACAAATGCTTAGAATAATGCCCAAATTCCTGGCAATTAAAACATTTGACCTTATTAACGTTAGATTGATTTCGGTTGATGACGAAAGCTTACTTCTATCTTTAACTTGAGTGTCTACTTCGGTTCGGATTTTTAAACTTATCATTGTCCGATCTCATCTTATCATAAATTTTAAGGCCTTTGTTTAAATTCAGATATTGTTCCGCAACCATATAGTATAGTTTTCCTAACCACAGAATCAGGAATACCATCAATAACATATTTAATTAATGAAGCATCTTCAATGTTACCTCGCGAACACATTTCTTTCATTTCAAAAAAATACTCATCTAAGGATTCATTAGGCATTAATTTACGTTTACATAACATTTCATGCAACTTAGCAGAATTAAAAGCTTTACCATATTCAGATTTCAAAAGCTTTTTTAACTTACACCAGTCATTAACTTTAGGTTCACTCTGAATAAATAGTTTCGCTTTACCTTTAATGATCTTTTAGCAAAACTAATTTATGCAAATCACTCAATTTTAAAGAATTTATAACATCTTCAAATTCATCAATCCATTTATCAACATTTTCATATGCATTACCAGAAAAAGGATTAACATACTTTCAATATCGAAAAACTAAGATGAGGTTTAAAATGATCTTGAATTGGAAGCTGCATACTGTTATTTACTTGAGACTCATTAAAACCAGGATTGTCTCTTTGATTATCATCAAGCATTACTTCAGAAATTTATTAATAGTTTCATCTTCAATATCACTATTTTCTTCATGCAAAACATTTCAAATAATACAGATAAATCACATAGGTAAGAGACAATTCGGGTTACGACTTCCGTCTTTAAACCTTCTGAATTATGCACAGTACATTGCAAATTTTAATTAACTCATTCAAGTAAAACTATTCTGCACTGCATCTATTTTCTTATTAAATTCTTCAAATCTGGTTTAAATATAAAGCCAGAAAATTCACGTAATCTTTTCCGGTTATTCGATCTCCATCAGTATTAAAAATAAGCTTATGCAAACTTATTTCATTTCAGAACTTTTACTATTCTTTAAGGCTGCTTCGAATTCTGGAATTTCTACTAACTTCATATTGGAAGGAAAGTTTTGTACTCATCCGACAGATGATTGTCTTCGGTAAGGGTAATCCCCACTTTATACGAGTAATCCAATAAATCCAATAGCTTGTAAGAATAGTTTACTCAGTTCACAGTTCGATGCACAGTTCTACTACTCGCACACTTTCGAGTTCGAGGCCGCACGGGTGGTCGCCATATTTTTTTGTAGAATTTGACTTGATTCACAGCATGAGATCACGAAGTAATATTTAAATGGTTTATTAAAGAGAAAAATAAAAGTAAATAAAAAAGTATATAAAGATGAAGTTAACGGTATGCAGGATTAACATAAGATAAGTCCTTTTAAGGCATAACATCAAGTTAATAACTCTTGAAGACGTGTGAGCCGTCTGCTCACGTCTGCCATCCACTCTCGACCAGGTCTCAGCGCTGTCTGGGATGATTCTTACTGCGCTGGGTGATGCTATACTGATGACGTCATAACGGGCAATTCTCATTCAGCATTGGACGGTATGATTTCCCACAATAATGATGAAGACTTACTGCATTTTCGAATACTTTCCTTATTTAGTGATAAATTATTAATGTCATCTACGCTAATATTTCTAAATTTTGATTTTATTTTACAGGTTGCATGTTTTCTAGTCATCTTGCTGACTTATCTGATGGGCACAAATTTCTTTTGGATGTTCGTTGAAGGCATGTATTTGTACATCCTCGTTGTGAAGACATTTTCGGTAGAAACAGTAAAGATGCATGTCTATGCCGTAATCGGATGGGGTAAAAAAATTTCTTTACTTTTTATATATAAGAATTAGTCTTTTGAAATTATTTTGAACATTGTATCCGGGAAGAAGAAATGTTTTTAATCCTATAGAGTGTAGCCTCATCACGTGATATACACTCTTGGGCATTTGACTATAACTAAATCGTTCTGGCAAACAGATCTTAATGTGTGCAAAATAATTGCATGGTAAAAACTGTTTTCGGCGCTTCCTTGGCGAAACCTAGAGCCATCTTCATCTGAAAGCAATTAAAGTATTTTGATGGTCAGTAAAATGAAGTTATGAAGACTTTTGTTGTGATATCCGGAAACAATGACATTCTCAAAACTAATCCTTGGAAGAAATCTAAATAAATGCAATTGTGTGGCAGAAAATATGAATACAGTTCTATTGTTTAAATCCCCAACTACGAAGAACTTTATTTGCAATAATACTGACCATTTGAAATTCCACATCCTTCTAAGATATCAGTTAATAAATAGAGCTCTTGTAGACATCTACAGTTTATTAGTTTGAGATTTATATGTCTCCGTAATTTGAACTGGTTAGTATTACTATAAAAGTTTTCCTTTGTAACTGAGAATTTAAACAACTGAATTGCATCCATATTTTTGCTATCGTTTTCATTCAGATATTTACAAGTGTTAGACTTGAGAACTTCACTATTTTTGTCTTTCCCAAAACTGAGAAAGTCTAACTTTATTTTGAAATTAAGGTCTTGATAATTGTCCTTTTCCGCAAGAGATACAGGTCAGTTTACCTTTTTCCTCAAAAGGCATTCATAAGACCTGCAGTCTCTGGTACATCTAAGATAATTGGCAGGAGAATAGCATCTCAAATATTTATCCTAAACTTTAGCAGCTAAATAATTATAAACAGGAGGTGTCCATTTGTTACGAATGTATGAAATGCGATTTACCGGATTAGCTGTTTTAAGCCGAAGTATAGCATTCTTGCTATTTTAGTGCGGTTTGCTAAGCTAAGTCGCAATCTTAGTCGTTGTTTCTTTAATCACTAAAAGAATATGCCTGAAATACAAACGGAATGTTTTTATAATCTTCTTCCGGAAATTATATTTCTTCGAGGTCAAATAGTATTTGCATTCGAAAGGTCAGTATCTAAAATATATTGCTATTCAAGATTTTTAGCTTCCATTTTGCAAGTACTCACGACAATAGTAATTAGTAAAATCGAAATTTAGATTCTATTTAGAAAATCAAAACTTTTAAATCCATCATAGTGTATTTCAAAGTACCTACATAAATTTATAATCATACAAATTAAATCATAAATGTCTATCGCCATTTTTACTTTTCCCTGTAATATTGTTCAGTAGAAATTTGACTTGCTCTGATGGTTTGCGATTGTACTTTTTCCAGCGTTGTGCGATAAACAAGCTTAACTTGTTTTAAGATAAAGCCCGGTTTATCTCAAACAAGATTAATCTGACTCCACTATTTGGAAGTTTACTTTAATAATTTCCTGTTAGTTATAATATGGTTATTATAATTAACAAAAAACAATTCTTTCAAGAATAACCAAAATTTTGAGTTCACTGAGGACGTCCTTACCGGTATTATGTCTGTAAATCGCAAGCTGATTGTACATCAAATTTACAAATATGTATTCTAGCAGCAAATCTCACACTTTTGGAGACGAAATCACTTCAGGTATATGTAGTTTATTCCGTTAAACCTATGTCTCCAGGCGGAACTCATCACCCTTAATTTGCATTTCATTAACACATACCTTCGAGGCAGTTGTCCAGGCGAACTAATTAAGCATCCTTTTATGCTCGTATCCCAAATTGGTCTCCTGTTCAGAGACCTAACGCCTGTTATTCGATGCTTACTGAAGCGCACTGTGCCTTCATAAATCTGAAATTACTTAAAATCAAAATGTAGTTCACTTTGATTGGAAGTCTCCAGTTTGAAATTGTCATAAACGTGACATTTATTCTTAACGTTTTAGTACAATATATGCCTCTCGTAGCGCAGAATTTAATCTGCCGTAGGCTTTTTGAACTGTATATACGTAGTAATAACTACAGCAAAAAAAATCTTTATGGCAAAATGCTTCTAATGCAAATTTAATATCCTAGATTAGTGAAACAAATGTGTTTCGATATAATTAAATCTAATTATGGTATCTTAATTTTTAAAGCTTAGCTACTGTTGACCACCTTTTACACACTCTTAGTAAAATTTTCGGTGTGTTTATAAGGCATTTTCTTCCTTCTTATCGCGTGCCTTCATGGTGTAGTTGGAAGCATGTCCGGAGGGCAGTCGAGAGGTCCAGAGCTCGAATCCTGGCTAGGACACTGAATGTTTCTTGTTTCTATAATACCTTATGAGTCTGCAAGTCACCGTATCAAATACACACTTAAAAAAATAGACAGATTTTGAAAGTTAAGTAAATTAATTTCTGTGTTCCATTTTCGAATAGTTCTATAATCTCGAATTTACAAAACTGAATCTAGCAAGCAGAAGTATTGTATTTTGTAATCAAATTGAATATATAAATTATAATTATTGTATGTAATGATAACATTAAATTAAAACCCGGGGGAAATGAATTCAGTTTATTCACACACTTTGAATTTTTAATAAATAAATTTAAACTGCTCTAACTACACTTATGTTCATAAATTAAGGATAATTCGGAGTCAAGCGGAAATCGAAACCTAAAATAAATATATCACCTGTAAAATCACTACATACATCTTCAAGAATCATATGCAAATTTCAGGAAGTAACCAGATGACACCGATGGTACGTCACAATGACGAGAGTGTAAGAGAGTGATATATAAGGAAATCAGGCAAAGAAGTAAAATTGTTCGCAGGCGCTTTATAAGCATTTCAGTGCAATAACCGAATAGTTATGACACAAAGGACGCATTTGGATGATTTTTTACGTGGTAGAATTATCGGCCGTCTGGAATGTGGGCGTACCCAACTGGAAGTATCAGACGAAACTTGGAATTGCCCAGAGTGTCATCTCCAGGCTTTGGCAACGATTCCCAAGATGATGGTAATGTGATGAGTAGACGTTACAGCACAGGTCGCCCCAGAGTTACAACGCCGAATGAGGACCGGTATTTGGCAGTTACTGCCAAAAGAAACAGGTGGAGCACAGCCTCAGACCTGTCCTCGTCAGCTCTCTTCAGCCACTGGTACGACAATTTCAAGGCAGACCGTGTACAGACGCTTAGGGCAGATTGGTCTATATGCTCGTAGACCTGTCAGATGCGTTCCACTTACTGCAACTCACTGTCGCCTGCGGTTAGCCTGGAGTAGAGAGCATGCATTGTGGACACCGCAACAGTGGGCTTGTGTGATGTTTTCCGACGAGTCCAGGTTTAGCTTGCAGTCTGATTCTCGCCGGACTTTCATATGGAGAGCTCCAGGTACCCGTTACCACCAAGAAAACATCATTGAACGACACCGTTACGGTGGTGCAGGAGTGCTCGTTTGGGGTGGAATTATTCTGGGTTCCAGAACTGACCTGCATGTTCAAATTGGAACCATGACAAGCCAAATCTATCGGGACGTCATTCTGGAACAACATGTACATTTGTTTCGGGGCGCCATGGGCGCACAATTTGTGTTTATGGATGACAACGCCCGTCCTCACCGTGCAAACATCGTAAGCGAATGCCTTCAATCGGAGGATATCACCCGTATGGACTGGCCAGCATTCTCACCGGACTTGAATCCAGTAGAACACGTGGGGGACATGCTTGGCCGACGAGTTGCAGCCCGTCAACCTCCTCCTACATGTCTACCGGAACTTCGGAGAGCATTGCTTTTTGAGTGGTGTAATATCCTCCAAGATCAGATCGCTAATTTGATACTCAGCATCCTCAGCATGCCTAGGCGTTGTACGGACTGTATGCATCCGCTTGGAGGCATTACCTTGTATTAACATCATACCAACCATGTAATATTGGTTTTTTGTAAATAGTTTTTTTTTTTTTTTTTTTTTTTTTTTTTTTTTTAATTTCCTCCAGGGAGAAAAAATCTAATTTTTTTAATAATATCAAACATATTGCATCTTTTTTTGCTCTTTACCTTTTGTTTAATAAATAAGCTTTGCAAGTAAGTCAAATTTGTTTTGCTTCTAACTCTTCCTTTGCCTGATTTTGCATTATCCTTAATTTATGGACATGAGTGTAATTTCAAATTCTTCGGATCATTTTGACAGTAACTAAAGCTACTCTCGGCAGAGGTGGTTAACTTTTCATGTTAATCAGAAAAAAGAGAGAATGATGTTTTAGAAAAGATTAAAATACGTTTTACAACCTTAAATCTTGTGTATGATTGTTATTTATAATGGGAGTCAAAATAAAATTTTCAAACAGAGTTTATACAGTTTTTCAGTATTTTAAGATTCTGAATAACCTCAAAAGAATCGCAGAAACCTACAGCTGACTTACCTTTGCGTCTTACTACTAATTATAGAAATTACGATTCAGAGTAAAGGTTTAATATAAAAGCTATTTATTAACACTTTAATCATCGGATGATTACAAAAACTAAAACATGTAACAAAAAATCTGAAATGTTTCAGATTTTAAATTACGTTCAAAGAGGCGTTTTTTTAACGTTTCATGAGTTACTTTTATTTATTAAACATCATGCTCTACGTACTCAAACCATAAAATTCAGTTCAACAGCAATATCGCAAAATAATTTTAAAATGAGCATAACTTTAGAATTTCTGATACACAGTCTCGCGAGCTGGAGATAAAAATAGTTTTTTTTTTTTTTTTCGAACAGTGTTACCATTGCTCGCTTTGAAATTGTTTAGTTTCTTAACCAAAAATTCGTTAAAGTCTTACAAAATATGAAATTGATAATAAAATTAATTTCAAGTTCAAATTAGGGCTTCTACACGGCCATATTCTATGGAAGATTACGTTATTCAAATTTTTATGGCTCTAGATACCGTTGTTTTACCACAGTGCGAGAAGCATACATACATTCACGCACAT